AATATCAGTTTCAACTGTATTTCAATTATTATGCCTTTCAATAGGTAGGGATAAGGTTTTTTTTTTTTTTTTTTTTTTCTCCTTTAAGCCACTAGAGATTTCAAAATGCAATGGCTTCATAGGCTTGGGAGAAATGATAGGATGAGGGAAAAATATTTTATTTTCTTCTTCTGCTAACTACATCTAGGAAAGTGAAAGCCAGGTGCAGTTTTTTTGCTGGTATTTTGTGATATTAGTTCAATTACTGTAGATATTTATTAATCTAAACAATCATATTTTCACTGCTATTGTTAGAATTCAATTGGGATGGAGATAGTAAACATCCAAGAGTACAAAATTGGAAATATAAATGGTAGATAAGATTATATCTAAATAAACTAGTGTGAGACCTTTAGTTAGCTGAAACTCACTTCAAAAGAAGAAAAAATTCTTTTCCATTTTCCAATAGCTTAAGTTTTACTTCCTTCATTTGTTTCAAAGAAAAATTGATATATATATATATTTTTCCTAACACATACAAGACATGATGCCATTTTCTTATATAACAGGTTCATTTAACCTTCTTTTGGTGATTTGAGGTCATTGCAATAAATGTTATTATTTGCTATGCTAAAATACAATGGTATTTCCTGGTCTTATTGTGTTCATAAAGTTGTTTATCCCAAAAATAGATGAAGCAAAGACTGCTAAGTTTTGTGTCTTCTTAGTTTTGTAGGCATTTTATTTTTCTCCCTTGGGATCAGGCTTTCCAGGCCACTTGCTGCTGTTGGACTCATGCCTACCTCTCTAGCACCCTTTCCTATTTCCTGTTTCTGATCTTCTACGTGCTGGGAAATTGCATAATAGATCTTTAGAATTAGGAAAGTAAGTAAGTCCCAAGTGAGAAAAGTTTATGAGAGTAAGTGGAATTTATTTTGGGTGTGCAAGATGTTTTATTGGGTCTTGTTTGAGTCTAGATAGGTGAGGTTGCTATACCTAGGTGACAATTGGACTGTAGAGGTGTTGGTGTTATGTATACTTTGCAAGACAAGGGGGATCTGTGAAGTGCACTCTATATAATTAAAATTAAAATTTTCATTGCCTATTTCACATTACAGGGTTTATTCAGATTTGTATAAACTGATTCAACTGGATGTTTTCTACCAAGTTTTCACATTCCCCTCAGTTTTAATTTCTTAGTAGTTTGTTATTTACAGGAATTGTTATACTAGGTAGACAAATATTACATAATCATCTTCTGTTTCAAGAGAAATAAGATTTCCTTAAAACCACATAAAACTGTAACTTGGCATTTACAGCTTTAGCTTGGAGAAGGGAATCCACTTCAATAGCCAAGCAACCTTATGTCATACATATGTTTCTCTGTTACATTATGATTACATACTGTGTGGCACAAAACTCCTTCACTTTGTTAAAACATTATAAACATTGTGTTTAAGCTGTTTAAAACCCATTGCCATCAAATTGGTTCCATCTTATAGCCACCCTGTAGGATAGAGTAGAACTGCCCCATAGAGTTTCCAAGGCTGTAAATCTTCATGGAAGCAGACAGACTGCCTAATCTTCCTCCGACAAAACAGCTGGTAAATTTGAATCACCAACCTTTTGCTTAGCAGCCTAATGCTTTAAACACAGTTCCCAGAACACTGTTTAGAATATTGTTTAGTGGAGGTCAAAAATCCCATAGCAATTGTGTTCACTTCCTTCCATTGAATAGGTAGGTGATAGCTTTTAGAAGGCTTTTTAGAAGCCTTACCTTTGTGTGTCTATGCTATCAAAATAAGCTGAAGTCTTAAAAATAACTTATTGTTATATTATGGTTCACAGATCAACTAAACCTAACAGCACTTGTTAATGAGATTTTTTCCCAACCCTGATGCTGCATTCTTCTTCATATAGTCCAACTTCTTGGATTGTTTCCTCAGCATACAGATTTGAATAAATATAGTGAAAGGATGCAACCCTGATACACAGCTTTCCTGATTTGAAACCCAAAAGTACCGCCTTGTTCAGTTAGAATAACTGCGTCTTGGTCTACATATAGGTTTCTCATGAGCACAATGAAATGTTCTGGCATTTCCATTCTTCACAATGTTATACTTAATTTGTTGTTATTATCCACACAGTCAAATGCCTTTGCATAGTTGTGATATAGTGAATTACATGGTATGGCTTTTCTAGCCATAGTCTTTGTAACTCCCACCAGATTACTGTGAGTAACTGCTTTTAAACTCTTGATTGTTAAAGTCATCTACTCGGGGTATTTCTGTTGGAACAGCACAAAATAATCTTCTGGAAAGCATGCTCTCAAGTGTGTAGAACACTGATGTTGGGATTGGTTGGTTTCACCACTCTATCAGGCTTAAAATGAGTTCTCCTAGAGCCAGAATCCAATCCCACAGCTTGCTGAGAGAGACACTGGGCTGAGAGAGATGCCTGGCTTTGAGAGATGCCCAGCTGAGAGACATGTCCAGCTGAGAGACAGTGGCAGTGAAACCAAGAGGCAGGGGACATAGTGGCAGGCTTACCTGGCCCACTGAGGTGGAGGCATGTCTAAGAGCACAGCAGAGGGGAGACTGTCCCGACCAAAGAACTGTATCCTGAGCATGTTCCTGAACTTGAATTGTAGTCTCTTGCTTCCCTAATAAATTCCATAATCTCTGAGTTCCATGTGACCACTGCAATAAATTATAAAACTCATCGGAGAGGTGGTGGGTGCTGTGGGAGGGACAGTTGGTGTCAAGGTTGTTTAAAGGCCTAGAGGGTGGCAGTATCTCTGACCTCATAAGAACAGGCCTTGAGCTGCTGATGGTGATTCTGTCTTCCTCTTGTGAAGTTAGAGGAGGTCAGAAGATGCCACCTCCTTGCCTTTTTAGCAATAATCAGTAAAGCATGGGTAAAGATCTTGCAATCTCTGCTCTCAGCCAAGCTCTATCTGTGTCAGCAATGATATCTCTTGTTCCACGTCCTCTTCTGAATCTGACTTGAATATCTGGTATCCTTGTTGATACACCGTTGCAAGCAGGTTTGAATTATCTTTAGCAAAATTTTACTTGCATGTGGTACTAATGATATTTTTCAATAAATATGCAATCTTGCTTGTTGAAAGTGAAGAAGACTTGAAGCACTTACTTGTGAAGACTACAACCTTCAGTGTGGATTATACCTCAATATGAAGAAAACAAAAATTCTGACAAATGGACTAATAAACAACATCATGATAAATGGAGAAAAAATTGAAGTAGCCAAAGATTTCATTTTACTTGGATCCACAACCAGCATCCATGCAAACAATAGTCAAGAAATCAAATGACGTATTGCATTGGGCAAATCTGCTGCAAAAGATTTCTTTAAACTGTTAAAAAGCAAAGATAGCACTTTGAGGACTAAGGTGCACCTAATCCAGGCCATGCTGTTTTCAGTCACCTCATAAACATGTGAAAGCTGCATAATGAATAATGAAGACAAAGAAGAACTGATGTATTTGAATTATGTGTTGGTGAAGAATACTGGACTGCCAGAAAAAAAAATAAATCTGTCTTGGAAGAAGTACAAACAGAATGCTCCTTAGAAGTGAGGATGAGGAGACTTCATCTCAGGTAGTTTGGTCAAGTCATCATGAGGAACCAGTCCCTGGAGAAGGACATCTTGCTTGGAAAAGTAAAAAGTCAGTGAAAAAGAGGAAGATGTCAGTGAGATGATCTGACGCAGTGGCTGTCACAATGGGCTCAAACATAGTAATGATTGTGAGGTGCAGGCCCAGGCAGTGTTTTGTTCTGTTGTAGGTAGAATCTCTTTGAGTCAGAACTGACTCAAGGGCATCTAACAACAGCAACAATAGCACTTGAAAACCTTTGTTCTTTTATAGGAATTTCCTTAAAACAGCTATAGCAAGGTAGTTACTGTATTTCCTTATGTGAGAAATAAGTAATGTGGAAAAAAAAGGATTATATGTATTTTCTAAAGCTTCTGGAGAAATCAGCACTAGGTGAGATGAGACACACAGTTCCCATTTGTTCATGAGGCGCTTGATCAGTGCAGAATATAGTTTTATATTTTGCAGTGGTTACGTTTCTCTGCTTTAAGCTTCTTTCTTCTGAGTACAGTAGCTGATGATTAATGGACTGATTGCCTACTATACAGTATTTAATAAGCACATGTTATATTAACACCTGGAAGTTTTGCAGAAATGCATACATTTCACAGGAAATGAAGAATTGTGAAGTAAGGAAAAAGACATTTGTCTATTCAACTTACAGCATTAAAATTCACAGTCTAGTCACATTAATGCTTCGTCCTATTTCTATTAGTTTTTTTTTCTTTTTTTCCCCACTGCTAGTTCAGACTGGCACAGGATGAATTGGGGAAATATTGCAATTTAGATTACTCTGTGGGAAGCAGAGAAACCATTTTCTGTTTATCTTATAGTAAGGTAAGCATAATTAAAAAAAAAAAAAAAAAAGCTGCTGTAGGTTTTTTTCCCCCATATAATAAAAGTAGAGGGAAAATGAATGTAAGAATTCTTCTTTAGGTTTTACACCAAGAAAAAGCTTGCCCAAAGAATTGAGATGACTGTTTTCTTTAATGAACAATTTTATTCCATGACTACACTTAGAGCTCTTCATAATTAACCAAAAGTTTTTTTTTCTTTTTTCCCTTTTTTCCTTATGATACCAACACAGAAAACTTTCTTAGCTGCAGCTCGTGGTTTGGAAAAGATTTCTTTTTTGAAAAACTTTGAATCTTTTCCCAGAGATAAACAGCAATTACCCAAATTCCTGTTAACTCAGCTAGATTGAAAAACACAAGCATAAAAAATAACCCTTAAATTCCTATATCTAAACAGCCATGTGGGTTGGCAAGGGAATGCATGGATCCTCTCTTTTTTAAACTCCTTAATGGTACTTCTGCAGCAGATCAGTTGGAAATTCAGAAAGCCATAGACTTCTTAAAAGATTAATTCAATGCAATTGCAATATTTTGAGTTTTAGATATCTTACCTCAAGTCCATGTCGCCATCGACCCAATACGCCAAGATATTGGAAGAAGTTCCTCCGGGACAGCATCCTATGATGAGCACCACCACAGCCTGGATGGGGAGAATGTCAAAGGCAACTGACAGGATGAATCCTGTGAGGGGCATGATTCCAAACTGACAGAGGAAGCCAATAAATATACCCCATGGCCGTTTTAAGTGCCCTACAAATTTCCTGACATCTACATTGCAGCCCATGGAGAACATCACCAAGGCCAACATGATGGTAAGGACAGTACTCAGAACTAAACTTAGAATATAGTTGGAATTACTCTCAGGTAACACACAGGATGCACCATCACAAATAGTTGCATTGGCCAAACAGTTTGTCCAGTTATTCATTGTTGGGTTTGCTGTGCAAATGGCCAATCTCAGAGAAGTACAGATCTCCCAGTCTTGGCTCAGCTGCCAGTTAAGATAAGTAATGCATGTTTCAACTATGTCAAACTTTTAAACCCTTCCTAAACACACGTCACTTGGTGACTCTTTCAATAAACTGTCTCAAAGAAGCAATAAAGAACAGTAAATGCTAGTATGTCAGTTTCAAGGGGGTAACATTACAACACAGCACAAATTATGAGTCATCAAAGTCCAGCAAAATTATTGGTCCAGAGAATTATAATTAATCATTTATTGGCATGATAATGAACTGTTCAGTATTAAAAGAACAGTGTTAATGTTTAATGCCAGGAAGGTTTGTTTAGTAATTTTAGTTAAATGACACTTCAAATCAATTCAGAATATTATGAAACATTGTAGGAATAGAGCTGTTAGAAAGCATATTGTTCACTCAGCTCCATTTAAGTTTGAGGGAAGTGGTGCTCTCTTTGTTTTAACAAGTTGATGACAGGCCTTAAACAGGAACCCAGATCTCCAATTTCCTTGCCCAATAATTTTATTACAGTATCAATTTGTCTCCTGGCAATTGGTCTGTAGCTTTCATAATGTACATTTAAATTTGAGAATCTTCTTGTGCTTTGATTCAAACCTATGGGAGAGTAACATTTAAGAGGATGGAATGCTTTCTACATTGTCTAATGGGAAGGAGTCTGATTTGTACAGCCACTCTCAATTACTTACCCATGCAATTATGTTTGTGTCACCATAGTAACAAAGTGCTTTATAGATAGAGACAATCCAATTATTGGGAGGGATGAACTTTACAGGATTAGGTCAAAGTGACAGGATCTCTTTGTGCTTGGAGTCAGGAACTGAAATTAGAAATTTCTTTTTGTGAAAGTGGTATCCAAAGGAGGTAAATTTTTGTAAATGTCAGAGAGTCAACCTTATGCAGGTCAGAACATTGTTGTTAGGTGATGGCGAGTTGGTTCCGACTCATAGAGACCCTCTGTGCAACAAAACAAAACACTGCCTGGTCCTGCACCATCTTCACAATTGTTGCTGTTGGAGCCCATTGTTGTAGCCACTGTGTCAATCTGTCTCATGGCAGATCTACTTCTTCGCCCACCCTCTTCTTTACCCAGCATTATGTCCTTCTCCAGGGACTAGTCCTTCCTGATAACATTGTCCAAAGTACGTGAGAAAAATCTCACCATCTTCCCTTCTAAGGAGCATTCTGGCTGTACTTCTTTCAAGACAGATTTGTTCCTTCACATAGCAGTCCATGGTCTATTCAATATTATTCACCAACACCATAATTAAAATGCATCAATTCTTCCTGAGTGTTCCTTATTCAACTTCCAGGTTTCCCATGCGTATGAGGAGATTGTAAAGATCATGGGTTGGGTCAGAGGTATCAGTACTAATACTCAAAGTGACATATTTGTACTTTGTATGTTATACTTGGGAAGTAAGATGGGGCAATCTACTTCCATAGTGATACTGCCTTGGAAACCCAAAGAGGGGTCGCAAGTCGGGTCTGACTCAATGGCACATAACAACAAAGACAACAACGTGTTATACTTGAGGGTAAAGGGAAGACGAAAAAGAGAGAGAAGGTATTGTTCTAGTTCTCAGGAATTTATAATCCAGCGATTAAGACAGAACACAGAATGAGAATAAAATTGAATAGATTTGCCATAATGCATAATTCTTAGAAAAGATTTTAATTTATGATTTTATTTACTCATCTTAAATTAAGTAGTATTTTCATGCCCCTTTTGTGTATGAAAGGAGCTCTGGTGGTGCAGTGCCTAAGGCATTTCACTGCTAACTAGAAGGTTGGCAGTTCAAACTCACGGCCACTCTAGTGGAAGAGAGACTGGGCAATTTACTTCTGTAAAGATTTGCTGTTGTTGTTGTTATGTACCTTTACTGCCTCAGAAACCCAACGGGGGTCTATGAGCAGGAGTTGATTCAATGGCAGTTTTTTTTTTTTTTTTTATGTATGAAGGCTTGAGGACCAAAGAGATTAAAGGATATTATATTAAAGTATTATATTAAAGATTACACAGCTAGTAGCTGGAAAAACTGGAACTCATCAAGTAATGCCTGAGAACAGAGCTTCTCAAAATGCAAGTACATATGACCCCCTGGGAACCTTGTTAAATTGTAGATATTGATTCTGTAAGTCTGGAGTGGAGCATCTGCATTTCTAACCAGCTCCTAGGTTGTGTTGATGATGCTAAGCCATGGACCACACTTTGAGTAGCAAAACATTAGAACAATGTTAGGCTGACAACAATTGTATCCAAGCTAAGCTGGTAAAAACTGGATTTATTGGTCACAACTGAAAACAGCATTCACAGAACAACTCAATATGAGCAAATTAATCTGTCACAAATTGAATGAACATGAATGATGGGCAAGGGAAAAGACCATTGAGTAGAGAGATAAATAGAATTAAGTGTCCTGGCCTAATGTTAAGAGTTCTGGTGGCGTAGTGCCTAAGCCATATGACTACTAACCAGAAGGCTAGCAGTTCAAACCTACCAGCCACTCCTTGGAAGGAAGAGTGGGCAATCTCCTTCTGAAGAGATACTGCCTCAGAAACCCTAAGAGGGGTTGCTATGAGTTGGAAATGACTCGACAGCAGTGAGGTTTTTTTTGGGGGGCCTAATGTTGGGGTCCTAGGGATGATATCCCCTTAATCTGTGATTGAGCTACTGGGAAAAACATGAGCCACATCTTTAAAGGGTGATAGTGACTCATACCCATCGGTGATGCAACTCCTCTCCCAGGAGTGCACTTCTTCAGCTGTCACGCTCCACTGTCTGCCTTATCTTGCATGGGCAGCTTACTATTAGCTGTGGTCTGGCTGCCGGCCAATTCTTGGGAGTCTCTCTTGTCTTTCCTCACCTTCCCTATCCTCACAGCCCCCCCCCCCATAGCTAAATGATTATCTAGTTTAATTCCCCTAGGGAGCCTCTTCTTCCATTCCTAGGTATGTGCTGACTTGGCACTGCCCTGCTGGCCCTGTCTAAGCATCTGAAACTGACCTCTGGCCCACTTCTTGATTAGATGCCAGCCAGCCCCAGGGTATATGAGTCAAATGCTCCCCCTGCTGCTGCACCTTGGTCCCTGTCAGTGCTGCATCTTTTCTTCCTCCTTCAAGACCCATTGAAGCTGAATGCACATAAGACCTGTGTGTGGTGTTTATCACTTTACTTAGTCACTGCCTTGCATTATTTTAGCTTCAATCATTACACAATGAAAGTCAGAAATGTAGCTTAGAACATAATAACATACAGTCCTATGAGTTAGGAGGAAGGGCTTACTTTTTTTTTTTTCCTCCTGTTTTTTCATTGTATTTGGGTGAAAGTTTACCTAGCATTGGTTTTCCATTCAACAATTCATAAAGATTGAATTTTGAAAGATTAAAGGTTGAAATTTCTCTTAAACTTTTGAAAAGCTAGTGTGCAAAGCTAATTCATAGGGTCCAAGATAGGCATATTTGGACAACATTCTTTTAAGTCAAACAGGTTTTTCCAAGGTGGTTATCAGTTTGGGGCCATTGCTAGTGCTGGGTTGGTTAGGGGAAATCCATATTTAACCTTTTGACCACACTACTGGAAGCAGAAAAGAGAAAGTGAAAATTCTGATTTGTGGCATTGATTGCAATCCTCAAGTAATAGCACTCTTCTTATTTCTTCTCTGTGTTTAATGTTTCCATTTGTCCTTCTTTCCTATCCCTTTCTGCCTTCTGAGCTTTATTCCTGAGTAAATGCTGCCCTTTTGATCTGATACAGTTGGTTGTTCAAGTAAATACCTATCTCCCTGGTGTTATTTTTCACCTTACGGGCCTGTTTGTTGTTTAACTGACAGTTGAGCTATGGGGGTGAGTTCAGTTCCAGGCTTGAAATGTGTCTACAGTTCATAGTCTCGAGGGTTTCAGGCTTCATCAGACCAGTAGGCCTGGTCTTCTTCAGTATTGTGAGTTTTGTTCTACATTTTTCTTCTACTCTATTCAGGATCTCCTATTGTGATCCCTTTCAAAGAAAGGTTGGCAGTGGTAATAGGGCACCATCTAGTTGTTTTGATCTTAGGATCGTGGAGGCTGGGGTTCATGTGGTCCATTGGACTAATTGTTTCTATGCTTCTTTGATTTTCTTCACTCTTCTTTGTTCCAGATGGGAGAGACCAAAATTTGCACGTTAGATAGTTGCACACAAGCTTTTAAGACCCCAGTCACTACTCACCAAAGTAGGATGTAGAACATTGTCTTTGTAGACTATGTTATGCCAAATGACCTGAATGTCCCCCTAGACTACGCTCTTGAGCACCTAAGTTCAGTGACTCCTTCCCTCAAGGTGTCTGATTATGGCTAGGTGTCTGATTATGCCCCCTGTATGTTCTACTATATTTGTGGTTTTAACATAAAGCCATATATTTAATGTTAAATTTAATATATAAATAAGATAGAAATAAAATTAAATATTAACATAATATTAAATAAAATATAAATTAAATATATAAAGCCATATATATTAAAGCCATATATTTGTAACACATATAAATACATATATAGCAATAGCTTCTGTCAAAACTACATATATTTCTAAATGTAGATCCATTTGCCTTCTCACTTTTGTTCAGCTTGCATGACTATCTGTGCATCCCCTGATAGATTATTGTGATTACTGTTATTGCAGGACTGCGTACATAACAGTAATTACCTTTGTTGTCTTTAACTCTTGTGTTTCCCCCAGTGTCTTCTTTTGCCTTTATCATTTTATGCTTATTGTATATTGTCTTCTCCTTTACCCAAGTTAATGTGTCTACCCTCTAGTTAGTGTTTAATCCTCCCTTTCCTTTCCAAGGATGAAGGGTTTAAAGGTTGAAATTTCTCTTAAACTTTTGAAAAGCTGGAGTGCAAAGCTAGTTCATAGGACTCAAGATAGGCCTATTTAGACAACCTTCTTTTAAGTCAAACAGGTTTTCCAAAGTGGTTACCACTTTGGGA